TTGCTTGTATTAACAGTCATGTCGAAGCGTAGTTTACGCACGGTTACCGTGTCTACGCATTCACAACCTGTTCACATCGATCGATATCCACGCTGTATCATATAAAAACGATTACCAAGATTCGTTACGCAAGACCAAGTTTTAAATTAGTTGCATTTTGAAGGGGTGGGCGCTTTGCCGAATGTGACTCCAAATATAAAAATTGCGCAAAAGTGGGGGGTGGGCGCTTGCCCGGGCATGGGCGCTAATGCGGTCGAGTACGGTATATGCAAAAACTAGCTTTTTGAAGCAACAAAGCTTTATTGCAATTTTTTGAGTTTTTATCAATTTTACTACCATTAGTTACCAATTTATTAACTTCACATTTACAATTTACACACTCTATGTCATAAGGCACAATTTTGGGATACAGAATCTCCAATGAGTGAACACAAGTTATATGTTTTATGAAACGAGCATAGTCATTTATCGATAACTTCAGTCCCTTTCACAAATTTATAACATATTCGAAGTATAAACTTAGGGAAGAGTAGGAAATCAAACGGGTGGTGCACCGCGGTCATTACCGCGGTGTACCGCAGAACGCGGCGGACTGCTTATAATTAGGGGTCTTTACCGCTGTTCCGGTCTCTACCGCGGTCCTCGGTAATGTGTGAAATACGTACTAAACAGTTTCTTTGTTATTCCACGAGTCATTGTTTTAAAATCCGATGCTGTAAATCACAGTCCCTCAACACTGTGTGTAAATGAATACGATATGTGCGCTTGTTTAGTATTTAGTACATTGTACATGTATTTAGCATAAATTTCCAAAGTGATGCGATACAATTTTTCATGGTACATGTAGGTATACCTTTATTACACTGGAATAAAGTTTACAATTGAAAAGAGGACGATTTACAAAGTTTCAGCATATCCAAGCCGTATCCTGGTTCTTGATTGATTTGGCAGTATCATGTTCACCATTTGTGTCACACTCCAGAAAAAATGGCCAGCAAACGAGAAACGGGCGAACTAATCAAAACAGGTCAGGCTGTCTGCATTGCACTGACAATGACATGATTATTTTCTGTTTCGTTTCATAAATCTTGCCTTGCGCATGTATTCTTGGTTGACAGAATCTTTTTTAAACAAAAGACGTTATTTTTCTGTTACATGTTCGTGTTCCATGGTACTCGTGAGTGTGAAAGGCATTTTGAATGAATAATTATTGAGTTTATGATACCGTACGATAACGTTAGCTGGCTCGATTAGAATTTCATTGCGTGTGAACCGCTGAGGTCATTGCCCGTTACTGTGCCAACCGCACGTAGTTCAAAAGCACCTGACGTTGTTTTGTTTTTTTTCACTCGAAATGTAAGCGATACTCTGCGTTCAAAGTACGCTGCCCCGAGTTT